ACCTCACAAGTGGGAGGCAAGTGCTCTACCGCTGAGCTGTGACCCCAGCCCCCAACTGGGGGGTTTTAAGGCACATCACTGTGCTGTGCTGGAGTTCACAGCAAGTCCTACGCTCTGTCCTGTGCTGGCTTCCCGTGAAGACGCACAAGATACCAGAGCCCTAACAATGACCAGTGAGTGTTCCAGAGACCATCTATCTGTCACCTACCTACCTACCCACCTGTGTGCCTGTCCATCACCCACCCATGGTGACTGCCACCCATCCTCCCATCCATCATGCCAGCCCGTCTCTGTCATCCATGTATCATCATCGATCATCTAGCTATCACTTCTACCTGTATTCTATCACGTATCCATCCATCATCCCTGTTGTCACCAGTCCATCACATCTACCTCACGTATATCATGTATCCATCCATTATGTCTATTATCGCCTATCATCTGTCCATCACATTTACCTATTATCTATGTACTATCATCTGTCCATCCATCATCTCTATTATCATCTACTATCTACTCATCCTTCATCTCTATTATCATATATCATCTGTCATCTCTCTTATCACCTATCAATTACCTATCATCTATCTCTACTTATTACCTATCATCCATTCATTGAAGAATCTCTATCACCTACTCATCTATCCCACCTATTTATCTTTCATTAAAACATCTTTCGTCTATTATGATAATCATTTATTGACCATGTATCTATCCATCTATCGATCACCTCTATCATCTGTCAGTATAATTTATGTATCATCTCTCTGTCTATCCATCATCTCTGTCATGTATCACCTACCATGGATCATCATGGATCTACCTCGCATCTGTCCATCATCCTGACAACATCTCTCTTTCTCTCTCACCTGTCCACCAGCAGGCCCAGGGAGCCCTAGTGAGCACTACCATGCTAAGTGGAAGGCCTTTCAGTCTCACGTTGTGAGTTTGGACTGGTCATGAGTCCACTTGGGCAGTGCAACAGCTGGTGCGAGGGCTTTGGCCCCCTGGACAGCACTGTTCCTAGAGGGCTCAGTTGTTCCTGTGAGACCCGGACAGTCAGAGCCTGCAGCATCTGAGAAATCTCTGGCAACTGGCAGAACACTGACTCATTTCCCTTAATTATTTTTTCCATATTTTTATATAGTTCAATCCCCTTAGTTCCTGAACACGATAGATGCTTTTCCCCATTTTATTTTGAACTTTGCCAATCTGCTAAGTGCAGACTCAATTTCCCACCACGGTTTCCTTTCTTGGATTATGAAGAGATGAAAGCCTCTCCAAGTTCACGGGACGTGCTTCTCTTGCACGGCGACTTGCCTGTGTGGGTCATGTGCTGATTTTTCTGTTGGGATTTTACGTATCCATTTCCAAGAGTTTGTGCAATGTTGGTATTGAAGACCCATAGGTGGTGGATAAGGGCTGCACCTACACCCAAGCCCCCACTCACCATGGAAGACGAGGGAGGACAAGATGCAGGGACCAGCCTCGGTCAGCAGCAGAGCAGAGCACGGCCGACATCCCACCCACAGGCAGAGGTCAGATCCAGGACCAAGGACTCAGGCCCAGGTGCCCAGGGGAGAAGGCAGGGCCCTCAAGATCCGTCAGCAGAAGAACAGCTGCTCCACCCGTGGAGGGGGAATGAGCAGAACTCGGAGCGAAAAGCCAGCGGAAAGGCTCCAGCCGCAGAGATCACCAGCAAGGGAGGGTGTTAGGGTCTGTAAACAAGTC